CTTTGGACTCTTTGTGCATATTGCAATATCATAAGTTTTTCGCGAGCACACCATTGTCGTCGAATTTTCTTGGTAACTCTGGCTTGCTTGCGATGTTTATTTCCGATTATTGCCATTGTGAAAATTGCGAATTTGCGAACTTAAAAACGCCACTCACCTATATATAGTTAGAATGATCACCATATATTGTACCCTCATCATACCATAGTACCCTCTGATCATTAGTACCTCCCCAATTTTTTGTAGAATGAAAATATCCAGGGTACTATAAAGCGCGCTTTACGGTAGTTAATTAAAAATAATAATATTCATTCAATTTCAATTTTAACTATTACTTACCGAGCAACATTAAAATTTACAATATCATCATATACTTTATCGCAGTGTTGAGTTTTGGACACTTTTTTGATTTTAAATATTTTGGACAAGGTTTTGGATATAGAAAAATGTGTCTATAACCTGTCCAAAATTGTCCAATTTCCCAACACTGCTTTATCGTGATTGGCCCCCACGCATTTATATTGTCCCATGCTTCATATTGATTGAGAATGAACTTGGATTTCATTCATATTGTCATATTCTGTAATAATACACATTAAGTCATTAACATGCTGTTCATGTTATTATAATTCAATACTTAATACTATACTTACAAGCTGTGAACTGAATAATTAAGAATGTCGGTTTCGAATTTGTAATCGTTAAGAGCAGCTCTTTCATGACTTCTCTAATTCCATTCACACTAGTCTGGACAAATCATGTTAGCCGTTACATATTAATCAATATTAATAACAAGTTTTTCAACTAACCATTTCATAATATTTTGCAAGAATTTCGTATAACTCAGAACTAATGCACCTTCCTCCTTAACATTCGACGAATAAACTCATAATTCAGCAGAAAAAAATATTCCTTTGACGTTCGGATCATCCACATCAATCGTAAATGAATGTATTAAACTATTGCTATTGCAAAATTAAGCAAGTTAGATCAAAAATACTAAAAATTTTTTTAAAATATTAGCTCATTATACTCACTTTTCAGACTTAAAATCTGAGTTGACTCGTAAATTATATCTTCCACTACTCGTCCTGTGCATACGAACTTCCACTTCACACAGTGTTGGCTCAGTATTGGCCACCTTTATAAGTCCAGTTATTTATGACTGGACTTATATTTCCAGTGGCCAACACTGACTTAATATCATCTTCCATCTTTTCATATTTCTCTTTAAACTCTTTCTCGCAAATGTTGATGTCCATATCTACTTCATATAAATAATCATCATTTGCTTTCAATCCGGTTGGTTTTAGTTATAGTCTATATATTTTCAATTTTTAAAGAATAGACCCTATCCATTGCTGACTTGTTTTAGATGACAAATAATATTAGTTTATTACAGTTTGAAAAGCATGGACAAAATGTTTTTGCAATTTCGTTGACATCATCTTACCAGATTTTTAGAAATATATGAAAGAGGAAGGTACATAGCATTCCTTCTTCAGAAACAACAGACCTTAATCAAAGAACCTCATAGCAAGCACAGCGGATGAAATATTATCTGAATAAGAAAAAAAAAATGTGGAACTTATTTAACCTGACGCGAATGTAAACGCGCATTTTATAGATAACAATCGATCAATACTGGCCAGAATAATTTTTCTGCCACGTGATAATAATTCTTACTGGTTTTTTTTAACTGTATAATTATGTCTAATCCAGCTTTCCAGGTATAGGTACGTCAATTTTATATAAATTTCATATGATCAAATGAGGTGCGTCAATTGACTCATTCCAAAATTGCGCAGATATGATCAACAATGTGAAACATAAGGAGGTGACACAAAAATATTTTTAGTAAAAAAATTTTATATAAGTTTCCAGGTTAATTAGTAAAAACGAAACATAATAGGGTGTAATGCGAATAAGAAATTTTCTAATAAGTTTATATATTTATAATATATTATTAAATAAGTTTAATAAATTAGCTCAATTATAGTAAATCTTAATTTAATTTAAAAATTAAAGTCAAATTGAGTTAAGCTAAAATTTTTAACCTTTAATTTATATTATATATAAAATTAAATTAATTTAAATTTAATTTGATTAAATATTAAATAATTTATCTTAAAACATTATTAAAAAAAACAATAAAAGAAAATTATTTTAAAGGAATAATAAAAAGAAATATTTTAATAAATAATAAAAATATTATTCTAGATAAATTAATCAATAAAATAAAATATAATTCTTTTAATTAAAAAAATATTTTTTAAAAATGTATTTTTAATTAAAAATTAAAAAAAAAAAATTTAAATTATATAATAAATTATAATCAAATTACTTAAAATTTTATTAAATAACCATTTTTTTTTAAGTATAGCTTTTTATATTATTAAAAAAATGTATATTATTAATAGTAATCCTTATGAATTATAATTAATAAATAAGATGCAAAAGAATTCTTTTAGAATTTATGTAATATAAAAATTAATTAATATTTATATTAAGAATTTATATGAATATCTTGTAATAGAAAAAGATAAAATTATCAAAAAAAAATTTTACTTTATAAGCTAAATATGATTTTTTTAGTAAAATAATTTTATATTTAATATAAACTTAATAAACATTTCTCTTTTTTACTATAAAATATTTATAATATTTAATATTTTATTTTTATTTTTAAAGAACTATTTAGATTTAGTTTGAATTCTTTATAATTTATTTAGATAGTAATCTAGATTAATAATTCATTTTTTATTTAAAATTTATTTTGATTAATTTATTTAATTTAAGAATTTATTTTTAATTTTAAATATATCCTAATTGAAATTTTAATAGATATTTTATATTTATTATTTAATAATTTATAATTTAATTTTTTAAACTTTAATATAATAAAAAAATGTAATCTAATAAATTTTCTCTAATTTTTTTTTTTTTGCAAAATTTTTATTAAGTAATCAATCTGCTAATTTTATATTAAAATATATTTTTTAATTATAATTAAATTATAGATATAATAAAGCTATTATTAATATAATAGATTTTTTACATTTAATGCATTTAGCATTACTAAATAATTATTGATTTTATCAATAAGTATAAGTGATTTATCTTTTTATACTTGCTTAATAATGATAATAATAATTTTTTTATGATTACAATGATGATTATAACTTTATATTCAAAAAAATATAATTGGATTTAATAGTTTTACTATAAATAAATGTGATATTAAAATTATTAAACTCTATTTTATTATAAAGCTTTTAAATTTTTTTTTTTATTTTTTAATAAGAAATCTAATTTTTTTATAATAAGTAATTAGTAAATAAAAATTTATTAATAAGAAATATTTCAGTAATAAAATAAAGAATTATATATATTTATTTTTATTTTTTTAAAAATTCTTTTAGTATTTAATAGATTTTAATAAAAATCTTCTTTTTAATAATATTATTTATAATTTCTTTATTATTATTTTCTATATCTTTAGTATTTTTTTAATTAATATTATTATTATTATTTATATTATTTAATAATATTAATTAAAAATAAGTTTATTAATATTATGTATTAATTTACTAGGAGTTACATAAAATTCTTCTAAAAATTTTTGTGTTATTTTTTAAACAAGTAAAATATTAATTAATTTATCTAATAAATCTTATTCTTTTTTAAATATAAGATTTTTTAATTTATTACTATTATTTTATCATCTCTAATAATAATTATATATAAATTAGTTTAAATAAATAATCTTATCCTTAAAATAAAAAAGACAATTTCAAATATAATATAAAAAATTATAATTATTTATATATCTTATATATAATATTCATATTTTAATTTACACTAACTTTTATCTAATTTTTCTATTTGCTTCTATATTAAAAAATTGATTAATTATATTGCAAGCTATTAGAATTTTAAAAGTACTAGTTATATAGGAAAGTTGTTAAATAGCTTCATATTAATTTTTATAAAATAAAATAAAAATATTATCTTCATATTTGATCTATTATTTATAATAATTATTTTATTAAGATTTTAACTTAAAATATATTTATAAAATAATTTATTATAGTATACGGTTAAAATATATTTATTTTTAATATTATATTCTTAATCTTATATCTAATATAATCTATGTTATAATAATATTAATATATATATATTTAGCTTTATAATACTAATTGAAAAAGTTCAAATTAGCTAGGAATTGAATAACTAAATTTAAGCTAATTTAATACTATTTTATAGCCAATTAGTCATATTTTTTGATTGTTCAAATCACTACTAATTAACGCTAATTAAATAAAGCTATTTAGCATCAATTTGAAACTTAAATTCAGCTTAAAATTAATCTTAATTCAGTATTAATTTAATATTAATTTAAAACTTAAATTCAACTATAAATCAGCCTAAAATTCTATAAATTGATTTTAATTAAATAAACAATTTAATATTAATTTAAAATTTAAAAAAATATAAATCAATTCAAAATTAATTTTAATTTAATATCAATTTAATCAAATAAATATATAAAATTATTATATTTTTATTTAATTAAATTTATTAAATATTAAAATTTTATTAATAATAAAAATTTAATATAAATTCATAAAATCATAATAAAGATATTATCAAAATCTACTGATTAATTTTTTATTAAAAAATATGTAAATAAAAATAGAAGAACTATATAAAATAATAAAATAATAATAAAAATAATAAATAAAATAATAAAAAATATAAAAAATAAAAAATAAAAAAATTTATACTTTTCCATTATATCATTTTTTTATTATAAAAAGTAAAAAAAATCAGTTTATTATTTAAAAAATTAATTAAAATTCAATTTAAATATCACTTTTCTTTATCTATTTTTTTTGTTAATATTTTAGTAGTATATAAAAAAAGATAAAATTTTATTATAAAAAGATAAAGTTTGAATTGAAATTATTTTTTTTAAAAAGTGAAAAAATTAAAATTTTTATATAAAAATTCTTATATATATAGAAAATAAACTTAAATAGTATATTAATAATTTATTAAATCAATATAAGATTTAAAGTAAATTAAAAACAATTTATTAAAATAATTTATTATTATAATATCATTTTTATAAATAATTTCATTTTTGGTAAGTTTTTTAAATATTTGATATATTTTTTAGTAAAAAAAAATAACAAATTATAATATACTAATTTTATCTAAAAAGGTATAATATTACTCAAATTAAATGTCAATATTCATTAACTCTAACTTCTTTAGTAGCATAATAATACTAATTTATTATATTTTAGATTAATTTATACTAATAAGCTATTAAATTTCAACTAGCAAAATGCAAAGAATATTTGATTATAATGCTTTGAATTATAAACTAGTAAAAATCTATACTGATTAAAAATTTTAGATTAATTTAAAAGTTCTCATTTTGAATGAATAATTCTTTTATTTTTTACATGCGGTAGCTTTGCACAATCTTTATTTAAAAGTAAAGTAAATTTTTACAAAATTACAAATTACAAGATAGAGAGTACAAAAATTCCTATTTAATAATTAAACCAAATCAAAATCAACTTTGTATTGTTCCAGACTAACCTACTCAAATAAACTTAAAATAGGTTCAACTATTCAGTACAGAGGTGTGGTTGCTACTGATCTAAAAATTCAACCAGTTCGTATCAAATCTAGAGGAAGAAATAAAGTTTAGAGGAATACTAAAATCGTATGGTGATGATGAAGGAAAACTGGTATTAATGAAATGTAATTTTCAATCATTGAGTAAGATATTGTTGAGGTTTTCAAAATATTTGATGTTATTGCAATAATCATGCCAGATGGATTTCATTTGGGAGAATGCATGATGGTAAGTAGAAGATAGGAGGTTGTTTGTTAATAAGAGATTATTAATAAGACGGTGTGTTTTATTGAATAAGAGAAGAGGTACAATTCCTTTGATTAAGTCAATAAAGTTAAGAGAGTCAGGTCAATTATTTAGGGATCAGATAGTCAAATCTAGAAGATCCATAAAATCCTGATTATCTGAAGTTAAAGTAATAAGATATTGTATAAAAAACCTTTTGGTTGAGAATATAATGTCAATAAGTTAGTGTTTACTTTTTGAATAAGTCCAAATGTGATTAAATGTTTCATAAGTATATGAATATTTAGGACAATT